GTGCTGTTTTGATGTATTTTAAAGAGTTGGCAGTCAAAATTAAAACTGCTGGATGAAAGATATTCTTCATTCTTTATGACAAACAAGATAATGTGAATTACAGAATGTGTTTTTAAAATGTATACATTTTTGTGCACAGCGTTTATTATGAGGGGGTAGAATCCACAGCTCAGTACTCACTACTCAATACTCATGAGTACTTTTAAAAAGGCTACTCTTTTACTCTTACTCAAGTAGTTTTTTTGGACAAGTGCTTTTTACTCTACTCGCACTACATTTTTTGGAAGGCAATGGTACTTTTACTTGAGTATATTTTTTCAGTACTCTTTCCACCACTGGTGTATATATATAAATATATGCGATTTGCCGGGGGGATGGGGGCGGATTTCCCCCCTCTGGTCTACGCATCCCTGCCTATGCTGAATTATTTTATCTCCGGTGGGGATAAAAACATCCCGCCGAAGTCCCAATCTGAATCAAATGATTCGTGATATGTGCTTTGAAGTCCCAATCTGAATCAAATTATTCGTGATACGCGATCCGATTGGAGCGCTTCGAAACAGTGAATCATTTTGCAACGCAATGGTTTAACTGATTTGGAGTTTCAAAAAGCTCCGTTGATACTGTAAATGTTCTTTGCTCACTTTCCTGAATAACCGTTGAAATTAAATAATTAATCGGCCTAATGTTTTTATTAAATTGTGATCACGTTAAATAGCCTACAGTATAAAAACACTCATCAAAATCACTAAAACTGAAAATATAGAAAAAAGGTTAATTGAACATATTAATACTGTAATAATGTATATATACTACACACTGATTGACATTGAGAAAGCATCCTGTGAGAACAGAATTAAACCTGGTTTCCTGTCAAAAAGGTTTGTTTTCTGATAACCAAAGCTGTTTTATCATATGGGGGTGGGTTAAATGCAGCTGTCGCTCATGTGCATCTGAACAATCCTGTTCCTCTTTTATCTACTTTCAGTGAAGTTCTCACATTTAAGTTACATTAGCATTTTACTGGCAGCAACTGCAGGAGGAGGGTCTGTAACAGGTAATAGAACAAAAGTAGGGGAGGAGGAGAGGAATTGAGTGGATGAGGATGATGCTAATATCCTTAATGGTGGTCATCATTGTTTGGGTCATGTTGGAAAGCTATGCTAATATACAAGAAATTTAAAGAAAAGTAACTTTTGCTAACATCAAGCAGACTTTAAGCCAGGTTTCAAAGAAAGGAATCATTTAATGCTGGCCACCTAAGGGGCTGTGAAAGGTGAGATCAAAGAGTTACATTAAAATATATTTAAATAGAAAAGTTATTTTCAGTTGTAATCATATTTCACAATATTACTGTTTTTACTACATTTTTGACCAAATAAATGCAGCCTTGTTGAATATGAGACTTCTTTCAAAAACATAAAAAAAAAATAAAAATATTCCAAACTTTCGGCTGGTAAGTTTTTTTATAAGTGGCATTCAACTTTGTGACAAAATAACGTGTCAGAGCCTCTTTAATAAAAGCGCAAATAAATAGCATCCTCAATATTTGGTTAATAGTCATAAATATTTGGTTACAATGTTAAAAGGCTGCCATAAAATTCGCCCACAAATGAGCTCATGGTTTTTGCGGAGGTGTCCATCCTGTTTCATCATCTGCCTCATGCTCAGAGTTTGAAATACTTACCCACCCATAATTCATCACTCCTTAATTTTACCATTTGCGTACAGTAAACATGAACCAAATATGTATAAAGAGTGATATTATCTAACATTAGATGACTCATATGTGGAAGTTGCTGTGAATCTTTTGCTTTATATTAGGGAGGTTTCACAGACATATATGGCCAATACTTTAAATACAAGACAAATACCATCCCTTCTCTATAGAAAGACCTGAAAAATGTATGCACATTTAAACTGAAACATTAATGCAGACTTCTAAATTCATTGTCCCTCTTAGCTCTGAACAGAAGCTATTTATGGAGAGCTGGCATATATGTGGAGTCTGACAGCATTCCAGAATGAATGAGTGTAGTCTGAGCCGGCATGTCACTGTAAACTTGTATTAATAAAACCATACAGCAGCCTTTAACCTCTTAAGACCCGGCAAAACATTTTAGGAAAAAATTAGTATTTTTTTCATGTCATTACATTGTTTAGACTAGAGCATTAAAAAAACGTAAAAAAAAAATGTAAAAATTAAATTTCATTCATAAGTTATGCTACATCCTTGGAAGAGGACATCGGGACTCAATAAAAAAAAATAAAAAATAAAAAGACATGAATGAACATGCACAGGCAAAAACAATTGATTATCACCAATACAGTTTTAGTTTTCAGGATTTTTTTTTTTTTTTGCCAAACTTTGTATAAAGATAATTCTCAACTATGTTATAACAGAATGATTTGATATACCATTTTTCTTCATGCAAAATGGCCATAAACAGGTTTTCTCATTATATATAATGTATCTATAAACTAAATCTAATTGGCATATTAATGTGTTTTTGGGGCAACATGTAATGAAAAAATGTAATAATAATGAGAGTAATGCATACATATATTATATACACACACACACACACACACAAACGGTTGAGAAGAAAAGTTCAAGGTAAATGTATGTCCGGTTGCTTAACCTCTTGAGACCTGGCAAAACATTTTAGGGAAAAAAATAGTATTTTTTTCATGTAATTACATTGTTTAGAGAGTATTAAAAAAATATATATATTTTTTAAATTTAATTAAAAATGATATTTCATTCATAAGTTATGCTACGTCCTTGGTAGAGGACATCGGGACTCAATTTTAAAAAATAAAAAATAAATAAAAAGACATGAATGAACATGCATAAGCAAAAAAAAGTATTTTTTTAAATCACCAATACATTTTTAGTTTTCAGGATTTTTTTTTACCAAACATTGTATAAAGATAATTCGCAACTATGTTATAACAGAATGATTTGATATACCATTTTTCTTCATGCAAAATGGCCATAAACAGGTTTTCTCATTATATATAATGTATCTATAAACTAAATCTAATTGGCATATTAATGTGTTTTTGGGGCAACATGTAATGAAAAAATGTAATAATAATGAGAGTAATAAATTACAAAATTTTCATAATAATATATAATATTTAATAGGAATATTGAAATATAATGTCTTTCCCAATTCATTTGTTGTGTCTCCAAAAATGCGTAATAAACATGCTTTTAGCCCCGGTGTCCTCATATGAGGACAAATCAACATCCTGTTTCGTAACAGAAAATCATATTTTGATTTGAAACCACATA